GGCTTGGCATTCATTGTAACAAAAAAATACTTCAAGATCTATCCTGAAGTACAATGCTGTCAGTGATAGGATAATATCCATACACCTACAAGGAAGACCAGTTAATACTACTATTATTCAAATTTATGCACCAATCACCAAAGACAAAGACAAAGAAATTGAAGATTTTTACCAACTCTGCAGTTGGAAATTGACCAAACATGCAATCAAGATGTGTTCATTATTACTGGTGCCTAGAATGCAAAAGTTGGAAACAAGAAGACTCACCAGTATTTGGAAAATATGGCCTTGGTGATAGAAATGATGCCGGAGACAGCATGATAGAGCTTTGCAAGACAAATGACTTATTATTCATTGTGAATACCTTTTTTAACAACATAAATAGTGGCTAAACACGTGACTTCACCAGATGGAGAACACAGGAATCAAATCGACTACATTTGTGGAAAGAGGAGATGGAGAAGTTCAATATCGTCAGCCAAAAGAAGGCCAGGAGCTGAACTGTGGAATAGACCATCAACTGCTCCAAGTTCAAGCTGACACCGAAGACAATTAAAAGAAGTCCACAGGAGTTAAAATATGACCTTGATTATACCCCTCTTGAATTCAGAGATCATCTAAAGAATAGATTTGATGCATTGAACACCAATGACTGAAAACCAGAGGAATTGCAGGATGACATCAAGAATATCATCCATGAAGAAAGCAAAAGGTCATTTAAAAGACAGGAAAGGAAGAAAAGACCAAAATGATGTCAGAAGAGACCCTGAAACTTGCCCTTGAACAAAGAATAGCTAAAGCAAATGGAAGAAATGACAAGATAAAAGAGCTGAACAGAATATTTCAAAGAGCAGCTTGAGAAGACAAAGTCAATTATTATAATGAAATATGCAAAGACTTGGAGTTAAAAAGTTAAGAGAGAAGAACACTCTGAGCATTTCTCAAGCTGAAGGAACTAAAGAAAAATTCAAGCCTCAAGTTGCAGTACTGAAAGATTCTATGGGCAAAATATTGAATGATGTAGGAAGCATCAAAAGAAGATGGAAGGAATACATACAGTCACTGTACCAAAAAAACACTGGTCAATGTTCATCCATTTCCAGAGGTGGCATATGATGAAGAACCAATGGTACTGAAGGAAGAAGTCAAAGCTGCACTGAAGGAATTGATGGAATATCCATTGAAATGTTTCAACAAATGGATGCCATGCTGGAGGCACACACTCATCTATGCCAAGAGATTAGGAGGATAACTACTTGGCCAACTGACTGGAAGAGATCCATATTTGTACCCTTTCCAAAGAAAAGTGATCCCACACAATGCAGAAATTATCAAACAATATCATTAATATCACATGCAAGTAAAATCCTGCTGAAGATAATTCAAAAATGATTGTAACAGTATATTGACAGAGAATTTCCAGAAATCCAAGCTGGATTCAGAAGGATGTGGAATGAGGGCTATCATTGCTGATGTCAGATGGATCTTGGCTGAAAGGAAAGAATACCAGAAAAATGTTTACTTGTGTTTTATTGACTATGCAACAGCATTAGATTGTGTGTATCATAACAAATTATAGATAACACTAAGAATGGGAATTCCAGAGCTCTTAATTGTTCTCATGATTAAGCTATACAGAAACCAGGAGGCTGTCATTCAAACAGGACAAATGGATATTGCATGGTTTTAAAACCAGAAAGGGAGAGCATTGGGCTTGTATCCTTTCACCATACTTACTCAATCTGTATACTGAGCAAATAGTCCAAGAAGCTGGACTATATGAAGAAGAGCATGGCATTAGGATTGGAGGAAGACCTATTAATAACTTGTGATATGAAGATGACACAACTTTGCTTGCTGAAAGTGAAGATGACTTGAAGCACTTACTGATGAAGATTAAAGAATACAGTCTGCACTATGGATTATACCTCAACATAAAGAAAATGAAAATCCTCACAACTGGACCTATAAGCAGCATCATGATCAATGGAGAAAAGATTGAAGTTGTCAAAGATTTCATATTATTACTTGGTTTCACAATCAACACCAATGGAAGCAGCAGTCAAGATATCAGACGATGTATTGCACTGTGCAAATCTGCTGCAAAAGACCTCTTTAAAGTGCTGAACAGCAAAGATATCTCTTTGAAGACTAAGGTGCCCCCAACCCAAGCCATGGTATTTTCAATTGCCTTATACACATGTGAAAGCTGGACAATGAATAAGGAAGACTGTGGAAGACTTTTGAGTTGTGGTGTCAGCAAAGAATACTGAAACTGCCATGGCCTGCCAGAAGAACTAACAAATCTGTCCCAGAAGATGTGCAGCTGGAATGTTCCTTGCAAGTGAGAATGGTCAGACTTCGTCTCACCTACGTTGGTCATGTTATCAGAAGAGACCATTCCCTAGAGAAGGATATCATGCTTGGTAAAGTGGAGGGCTAAAGAAAAAGGCGAAGGCCTCAATGAGATGGACTGACAGTGGCTCCAATGATGGGCTCAGGTATAGCAAGGATTGTGTGGCTGGCACAGGACTGGTCAGTGTTTTGTTCTGTTGTACATAGGGTCGCAATGAGTCAGAGCCAACTCGACAGCACCTAACAACAACAACAACAAACTTCCTGGACACTTCACAGTTAAAACTACAAATGCCAACTTTCTGTGTTTCATTTCAAAGTAGAGCAGATTTTCCAGAATGGTCTTAACAGGATCCTACCCTTACAGAAAGGGAGAAGGAAAGGGACAAGGGAAAGGAGGTGGTCTTGCATTTTCCTTATAAATTCCCATTAATTATGTGATGACTCCTTACCTCATTTGATTTATTTTCTTTTTAAAACTATTATTTATACAAATAATACATATATATCTTCTTGCTAATTTCTGAAAAGAGGTAATAGCCTCGCAATAAGTAAGCATTCTTGTAATTCTGGTGTGTATCATTCTAGAATGTTTTCTATGCCTTATATACATACATAAGGAACTCTGGTGGCATAGTGCCTATGGCATTTGACTGCTGACCAGAAGACTGACGGTTCAAATCCATCAGCCACTCCGTGGGAGGAAGACTGGGCAATCTACTTCTGTAAAGATTTACTGCTTGGAAACCCAAAAGGGGTCACTATGAGTTGGAATTGACTCGATGGCAGTGAGTTTGGTTTTTATATGCATGCATGCATACATACCTACATGTATATTTGCCTATTTAAAGACACACTTTTAAGAGACCTTTATGGAAATTGGAATAATGTCATTGTTTTTGCACCTGATTCTCATTTGCAGAAGGCTGTTTTTGATTGGCTTTCTTATAACCATGACTGAATTAGAAATGTTCAAAGAACCCAAAGCAAAACTTTCTACACCTATATAGTGCTTTAAATTGTCCAAGTGTTTTCTTCTTTGATCAGGATAACCAATTAGAATAGTCATGCTTTATTTTACAACGCCTGCATATCTACTTAAGGAGCTGTGATGGTGCAGGGGAAAAGCGCTTAGCTGCTAACTGAAAGGTTGGAGATTTGAATCCCCAGCTGCTCCATGGAAGAAAGATACAGCAATCTCCTTCTGTAAAGATTACAGACTTGGAACCTCTACAGAACAGTGCTACTCTGTCCTACAGGGCTGCTATGAGTAAGAATTGACTCAATGGCAATGGGTGGTCAAAACTACTAGCACTTCTCCTAAAGCAGGAAGTAAGCAAATACTTTTTCTAAACACATAGCCCCAATTTCACGCACTTAGTTATTTGTTTGACAAACCTGATCCATGATCCCTGTGGGCTAGCTTCACTGCCCTGCCCTGAGGACCTTACAGCCCTTTCCCATGGTGACTAAATCACGCTGGTCACAAGATATAGCACAAAAAGCCAGGGACTAGGTTCTAACTTTGGCTTCTCAAATGACTAGCTATGGGACCCTGAGAAAGTTTCTTCTCTGAGTCTCATAAGAAAATCCACTATATAGGCATATAAGGACTGAATAGGAGGATGTTTATAAAAGTCCCTAGGAAAGTGCCAGTTAGTGTACTGAGGAAGAGGAAGACAGAGAGGGACATGGGAGGTACAAAAAAGAAGAAAACAAAGTGCCAGTTAATGGTAGTTAATATCACTAGATATTGATCAACCCCTCTTGTTTCAAACTTTTGGATTTAAGCAGACACGTAAGAAAAGATAGCAAAAAGGCATTGTTTCCATTGTACATGACCTAACTTTCAAGCCAACTTCTCAAGACCATTTCACTAAATAACCTTCATTAGTTATTACCAAAGGGAAAGTGAATAGGTCCAGAGGGTATAAATTGTGTGACCCTAGTGGGGAGAGAAGGATAGAAAAATTTCAAGATAAAAACAGCAGAGAAACCTTAAATAGTTGAAGACAATTGTAATGATATAAAACTCAAGCTGAAACTAGTTTATAAAGGAGTTTTTAGTCAGCTGCAGCATGTCTTCTGAATATACGTTAACAATTAGACAGCATTTTGTATTCTAGCATAAAATCTCAAGCAATTGAATAAACTGATTAATGTGTGGGCCACCACCATCCATTTCAGAAGTCTGTTTTTCCTTGGGGCATCCTATACAGTCCCAGAATTTTTGGCATATTCAGTGAATTGTAAAAACTTTGATTAAAAAAAAAAAAGTGTTAACAAAGCCAAATCTGGGGCCAAAGGTACCTCAAACTAATGCAAACTACATCCCCTAAGTTATCAACACTCCCCAAAGCTCTCCTTCTGGGCCCCAGGCAGTGAACGTAGCTGGGAAACTTACCATCAGCTGCGCTGAAGTACTCTGGGTTCACAGAGGCATACAGCACTCCATTCCCCAGCCTGCTGTTATTTCTGTCAGAAAGGATAAAATGGAGGTTGAAAAAAAACTCCTATCTACATATTTTTATATATACTTGCATCTTTGACATCAGTTTTATTGGTTCTAGTTGAGTGAGGTGACGTTACTGCTTATCGCAACTCTTCTCAACATGTACAGTTCAAGCCCAGCTGGACCAGCAGACATGTGCTAACATGCCTTCAGCACCTTCAGTGGCCTCAGAATAGGACTTTTTAAGGGACATTAGTTTCTTTACTTTGTTGGAAACAAAAAAGTTTATTTGGTTGAGGGAACTCAAACATCAAGTTGGAAAAGCTTACGTAAGTAGTAGTAGTACCTATGTGATAAGAGCAACTGGTGAGGGGGAAGGTCTGTTCCGTTCTAATTTTCCCCATAAAATTCCTTAAAGTCCTCAAAAAGATATCTTAACTTGGGTTCAAATCATTAAGTCATAAAACATGACTTCACGGTTCACCAAGATACTCACCTCTTTCTGTGACAGACGTATAGCATTATAACCAGCCCTCCCACTACTAAAAGAACAGCCACAGGCAGAGCAATGATCAGATGGATGAAATTCTCATATGGTCTTACTGCAAGAACAAAGGAAAATGAGAAAATGTCACCAGGTGAACAATCTGTGCTTTTCATTTTTCACATTCAGTTGAAAGTATGAAAAAGATTGCTGAAATATTCCCTTTATTGAATGACCATCAACTAGGAATTCCTGAAGGTAAATACAATAAAAAAAATTTAAGTTATTTGAAAAAAAATTAAATAAGGGAAGACAAAAAAATATTCTCATTTCTTAAAGTTCAGTGTATTCTGAAGGTCAAATGATGGATTGAAGTAATATAATCGTTGTGTGCAGCTTAGTAACTGGTTAATGGAAACCCAAACAGTTGTTAAAATAAAACAAACAGATTATTATATAGAGAGAGCTCAAGCCATACTCAAACCATACTGACCTTTATCTGTCTTAAGACAGTCCACAGACAATTAATAAAAGCCTGGGTAGTATCTGTTATCGACTGGATTGTTTCTCCCAAAAAGATATGTTGAAGCCCTAACCCCTGTTCCTATGAATGTAACCTTGTTTGGGAGTAAGGTCTTTGAAGATGTAATCAGTTAAATTAATATGAGGTATACTGGAGGAAGGTGGGTCCTAATCCAATTTGCACAATTGGAATGCTCCTTAACATCAAGGATGGTACTTCACCTTGCTTACTTTGGACATACCACCAGGAAAGACCAATTGCTAGAAAATAACATGATGTTTGGTAAAGCAGAGGATCAGCGAAAACAAGGGTAACTCCCTATGAGATGGATTGACACAATAGCCATAATGAGCTTAAATATACCAAAGATCATGGAGATGGCATAGGACCAGACAACGATTTGTTCTGTCATTCATAAAGTCACCATAAATCACAGTCAACTTGATGGCAACTAACAACAATGATACAATCCAATCCAAGAAAAGAGGAGACACAGAGAGGAAAGAAGACAGTCATGTGAAGACAGAGGTAGAGATCTGGAATGAGGCATCTACAAGTCTAGGAACATCAAAGATTGCCATTCATAATCACAAGCTAGGAGAGAGGCATGGAACCGAGTCTCCCTTACAGCCCTCAGAAGGAATCAGCAGGGCCGGGACTCTGATTTCGGATTTTAGCCCCCAGAACTGTGAGACAATGAATTTCTGTTCTTCTAAGTCACTGGGGAGCTCTGGTGGCTTAGTGCCAAGGCATCTTACTGCTAACCAGAAGGCCGGTGGGCAATCTACTTCTGTAGAGATACCCTAGTTTGTGGTACATTGTTATGGCAGTCTCAGCATACTAAACAGTACTCCTTGCCAAAGTTTCTCTGAATTCTTCCCCAAACACTACAATCTAGTTAGAGGTATGATGCACAATGCCCTCTGCAGCACTTACTCATTACGCTCACCAAGCACTTACATGATAGATGCTACTAGGCTGGGCACTTGGGATAATGAACCACAACCTTGACAAATTATGCCAGACACAAAAAACAGTAAGTCAACAGATAGCTTAACAACTAGAAAAGTGGACCGCACAGAAGGTGTGGATGCAAAGAGGAAGGTAAAGGGAGAGAACAGAGTCTAAAGCAGCATCCCAAGGAACAATTCATTTAGTGTGAGTCTTAAAGGAGAAATACATGTTTCCTTTGGGAAAACATAGCTTTCCAAGCACAGGAAGAGCTTGGAAATGATACTAGAGAGAAGTTAGGGCCGGCTTACAAGGGGCCTTATGAAAGCTAAGCTATGTGAATTCTGTTCTGTAGATTAAAAGGAGTCAGTGAAGGCTTTCAAGCCGAGGAGTGAGTTGATCCAATCTGGTAACCAGAGAGGTAGCTGTGCCAATGGCAGTTTGGAAGGGCTGGAAGCAGTGAGGGGCACCTTCCATGTCCTAGGAATGCCAGGGGCTATTAAGCATGTTCTACACCACCTAGTTCGGACCTCATGAAGAAATTGCTGCTCTGTTTCTACAGCCATTAAAGAGGCAACTTACAAGGAAAGATTCTCTTTCCCAGGGTAACACAGGTAGCTGGTAAGTCATGCGTGGGATGAGAACCCAGATTTCCTATACCTACAACTCATATGTTCCACATGAAGCAAGCTACTTGGAGGCTCTCAACTCAGGCCATGGTGATAGCCATGGAGAGGATGGACTGAAGACATATTTGAGAGGTAGAATCAATGGGATTTAGGTTTTAATAGCAATGAGGAGTTGGAAAGAAAGAAGTGTTAGGTATGCCTGTAAGGTTCCAGGCATGGGTGAAGAGTGCATTATGGGGTTCATCAACTAAGCTAAGGAACAAATGAGGGAGAGATGTTTTGAGAGCAGCAAATGTGATTTTGGTTTTGTGCATGAGGAGCTTGAAAGACATCCTGTAAGACAGCCAAATAGAGAAGTTTAAGTGGAAATGGGCTTGGAAACTCATTGGGGACTATGTCTATTGTAAGTCAATCACTGATGAGTATTCTGCTACTACAAGTCACTCCTACTCTTATGTACAAGCTATTATTATTTTTTAAAGTCATTAAAGCTATCTTTATTTTTTAAAAAGGTATTTTTATTAAATATCTTTCAAAATAGATGCAGGCTCCCATTTTCCAATTTCTGAAAACACAAGTTATCATCGCCATAGGGACACTAACACGTTCTTTCTTTTTTCCCAAGGACTATCTCTCCTATTTGTAATTCCTATGCTACTAGTCCAGTTGTACTGTGTTCTTTTTGACATTTCATATTTCATTAGGAACATGGAGAAACTGGAATGCATCCAGAGAAAAACAAAATGCTTAAATGGCTACAAAATTGGTCTATGGGATTTGACTATGAGACCAAAAGACCTGAGATTATCTCTGGAAAAGAGATGTCTGAAGGGTAATTTAATAGCATTCAAGCCCACAAAGGGTTTCTAAAAAGAGAGCAGCTGCCAGAGAGCTTCCAAAGCTTCCATCGCCTCTGAGAATTAAACAAGAGGAAATGAGACTAAACTGTATCAGGAGAGAGTCTTGTTTGACATAAGTAAAAACTTCCTCAGAGCAAAGTAGACATGCCAATTTAATTTCCCTGTGGTGCATGCCAACTTCTGCTGGAAAAATTCCATCAGAGGGGCTCTTGGATTTCCTGTTGGCATTCTAGCACTCACAGGGTTAAAAAGGAAGCAGTAATGGAACATGCCATCTTCAAGGATGAGGTGAGTTCACTCAACTTTCAGTTGTGCTTTTTCAAATAACATGGCCCAACAGCAAGACCCCCAAACCCAGGGTCTCCTATGAGACTGATGCATAGAGTGAGATGGTGGAGAGAGAAAGCAAGGCACAATGCTGAATAGGTCTGTTTGAATATTGTGAGGATTCCAGGCACTAGAATAGGCTCACTAGAATAGGTGAGACTAGATTAAGTGGACAAAATGGGAGAATTCAGACTACAGTCAGCCCTCCATATCAGCAAGTTCTGCATCCCTGGGTTCAACCTACTGAGGATTAAAAATATTTAAGAGAAAAAATAAATAAGAAGAGAATGGCCAAAGCAATCCCTCAAAGGCTAAGAGGTTGTGTAACATGCTATTTACATAGCATTTATACTGTATTAGGTATTTCAAGTAAACTAGAGATGATTTAAGGAGCCTAGGTGCCATAGTGGTTAAGCACACGCTATTAACCAAAAGGTTGGCTATTTGAATCCACCCAGCTGCTTGGCACATAACAACAACAACAACAACAAAGCTGCTTGATGGGAGACAGATGTGGCAGTCTGCTTCCACAAAGATTTACAGCTTTGGAAACTCTCTTCACAATCCTCTCCTATATGTGTATTGTGAGTCTGAATCAATTCGATGGCAGTGGGTTTTGGTTTTAGAAATGATTTAAAGTATACTGGAGGATGTGCATAGGTTATATGCAAATACTATACCATTTTATAGAAGGGATTTGAGTATTCATGGATTTTGGAATCCAGAGGAGTCCTGGATAAGTGTATTTTAATGGTCAAATTACCTAACCATTTGTCAGGTAAATAATTTCAATTAACCCAAAATAAGTACCTTTTTCCTTGGTGCCTGAGAAACAACCCTGGGAGTAACTAAGCTGCCTCTATTAAAATCTCTATACCAGACCTGAAAGATTTGTGCTAATAAGTAGGGGCTGGCCAGACCAGAGAAGACTCACCTGGAAGGCCAATAGCAATTAATCTTGGGTGCCATAATTTAGCCTATCATGCATATGCAATGAGGGCTGATAAAAGCCCTGAACACAGACGCTCTAAGGGTTTTCTGGTTGGCAAAAGAGGGTGATGTACCCTCTTTGAGACACGGAAGCTCTGCATTGAGAACCCTCCCAGACCTCACTGGTGCATTTCTTTATGATGATTCTGATTTGTATTCTTTTACCATAATAGATCTATAATCGTAAGTGTAGTACTTCTCATGAATTCTGTAAGTTGTTCCAGTGAAATATCAAACCCAAAGGAGGAGTTAAAGTGAGGTGTGTCAGATGGGCTCCTGAACTTATTGTAGCGTCTGCCTAACTGGCAGTCTAAAGGACAGAGTCTTTTTTACCTGTAAGATCTGCCCTCATTCTGGTGGCCAGAGTCAGAGAGTGGGTAAACAAAGCTTACTTTTGGTTGGGACATAGAAGAACACAGGATCCATCCACGACCCATTCCCAGAAAGGAACTGACTCTGGTGGCCAGAGTCAGAGAGAGAGCACATGGGTGGCTGGTGTCAGAAATTATTAGGAAGTGGGAAAGTCATGACTTGGTCAATCTCCATATTTTGGGGATTGACTAATGCTGATTTTTATCCATGAAGTTATCCATGAAGCTCCTGTTTACCACTGTAACCTGAACCCAGGCACAAAAAATGTGGCCTCAAGGTTTGAAATTCCATGTACCTCTATCCTTCTAATATCTGTCACTACTAGGATTTTCAAATATCAAGCACTTCTTGGACTAATGGATCTGTTGAGTCCTTCTGTTAAGTCAGATTCCAGATCAGAGCACTACAAATGCAGACACCAGGAAGAATCAATCTAGTGGGGCCAGTTCACTACCACCACCCTGCAAGGGTGGCCTGCTATTTTTTGTGGGGAACAACAAGTAACAGTGTTATGCCTAATTTGATCCCATTACCAAAACATGAAATAATCTAAAGAATTGGGTTTCTAAGAAGAATAATGAAAACTCAGTATGGAAATAATGAGAAATATATATCATACCAAATAAAATACTACTTTTTCTTCATCAAACAACAAGGATATGGCCACTAATCCTTCTACATTTTACAAAATTCAGTTTTAAAAAGTGAAATCATTGTTCAGAGTCTTCTAAAAAAAATCTGTCTTGTCAATGGTTTGAGCATAAACTCATAATATTGCCAAGGCTCAGTACCAATTTGTGAGCACTGCATGCACTAAGAACCTACTGGTGTTTTTAATGCGCATTTGTATTTTACCAAAAACAAAATACAAAAAAAACAAAAACAAAATAAAAAAACCCACTGCCGTCAAGTCAATTCCAACTCATACCAACCTTTATAGCCTTTCCAAGGCTATAACAAATCTTTATGGATGTAGATTGCCTCGTCTTCTTCCCATGGAGCAGTAGATGGGTATGAACTGCCAATATTCTGGTTAGCAAGCAAATGCCTTAACTGCTGCCCCACCAGAGCTCCTTGTTTTTTACTAACGGGAGAAGACTGCATCAGCCTAGAGTGCTGTTCTGGAGACTCCTGGCCTGGGAGCAGGCTAGACTAGATGATCCTTAAGGTTTTTTTCAACCTTTAGGGTTATAAGTACTAAAGTCCAAACCAGCATGACTGACAAGGAAGAGGAAGTGGTTTGGTCAATTCAACACTTTGTAAAGTGCTTTGGAACATCAACTAAGTTGAAAGCAAATGTCTTTTGCCTACTCTACAGTAGTTGTACTATCTCAAAAGGGAGGGGGGCACAGACCCATGCTCTTACTGTAAGATGAGGTACATATTCAAAGTTCAGCATCCCCCAGTCTGAGTATGACTACTCCCTCCCCTTACTGTGACCTTTCTGAATGTTAGCTGACACTGTTTGATCAAAAAATCTGAAAAAAAGAGAGGCACATGCCTAGGCTTCCTGAATGCTAGCTCAACCTGTTTCCAGCTTTCCCACACAACTCCCTACACAAAGCTTACTTTTGGTTGGGACATAGAAGAACACAGGATCCGTCCACGACCCATTCCCAGAAAGAGAAGTGGCCTGAATCCGGGCCGTGTAGTTCCCTGGGTTGAGCCGGTTAAGCTTGGCCCCTCCATACTTCCGGTACTCCTGTCTGGAAACACACTCTCGCTGATCCTGGGGGAAATAAAATACATGTTAATTCCCCCCCACATGTGAGAAACCTGTGCTTCCACCAAAGCCCACTGCACCATGACTCTGTCTACCTGATAACGAGCCCTATCTACCTTCAATCAAAGGGAAGAAACCAGACTAAAGAGGCAGTTCTCCAGTAACTGTAAGCACACTCATGTTTTAACCAAAACTTTTTGTAAACAAAAAGAATTCTAGAAGGATTAAAGGGTATTAAAACAGCATATGTGATAAGGTCACATTCTGCAATGAAACAGGCAGCTTCTTGACAGTATGACCAAGTCCATCTCTTTGCAAAACCAGTTGCTGTGGAGTTGACTCTGACTCATGGCTACTCCCTGTGTGTCAGAGTAGAACTGTGCTCTGAAGGGTTCTCAATGGTTTTTTTTTTTTTTGGAAGAAGATTACCAGGTGTTTCTCCTGAGGCACCTGTGGGTGGACCTCAACTGCCAACTGCAGTCGAGCACATTAACCATTTATACTTTTCAGACTCCATCTCCTTGAGCATTCCTGTTGTATTCCTCCCAGAATATTGAGTTGGAAAAAAGACCTAAATCCTCATTGACTTACCATTATTTTCTTTTTTTTAAGTCTTAGCCAGGATGTAAATTGTGTTATAATGTAATACGTTGTTCTAAACTGTGATAGACATATACACCCAAACTTGGACTATTACCCCAGTCTTACCTCAGCTTGTGATCCATACTTTATTTCATACATTAGGATCAATCCATTGGGATTCTCAGGTTCTGGCCACTTTAGAAAGATGGAGTTTTCAGGCCTTGACTCCCAGGTCACTGGCCCAGGAATGTCATCTGCTCCTTCTGTAAAACAATTTAAACAATTAATAAAGCCATATTTGGGTCTCTAGGAAGGGAGACAAATATTGGGGTAATTTGTGCAAGACTGTGATCACACTGAGGACCTCCAGTCTCAAGATGCCATACTACGACTCCCCTTTCAAATAAATCTGATGTCAAGTGCAGTCAGGGAAAATCTTGGAAACTTGCGTAACTTTCTCCTATTCTGCTTCCACTTTTTTAAGAAAAAGCTAAGAAAGACCATCAAAAATAGTGACAGGTTCTATATGATCAGAAGCAGTAGTAGTATCATGAGCCCAGCTGAGGCACAGATCCTTTTGTGGTGCACACTGACATGAGGCAGTTGCAACTTTTCATGCAGGCCTGTGAGGAAGAAACTGAGAAGTTGAAGCTGAAAGAGAGCACACTCCCAACCATCTTCCACTACTCCTTTAGCTGCTAGTTGAGTTGTGGTAGTTGCTGTCTTATGTCTGTAAAGCAGTGAGTGGTGGACAAATGACACTGAAAATTAGAGCTGGAAATGGCTCTGAGAAAGCAGCTGTGTACCTCCCCCCTAGAAGGGCTGGGGAAAATGAGGTCTGGGGGACTGATGACTGTTAGTCCCAGAACTGCACCCAGGATCCTCCACTCCCAAGCCTCCCAAGCATGTCCACATTCTCTCTACTAACTACCACCTCCTGTAGTTGGTTCACCTGAACCTCAAAGGTGAGGTGTAGCGATACTCAAAAAAAAAAAAAAAAAAAAAAGAGCTCACTGCCGTTGAGTTGAATCTGACTCATAGCAACCCCTCCTTGGGTTTCCAAGGCGGTATCTATATGGAAGTAGATTGCCCAGTCTTCCTTCTGAGGAGTGGCCGGTGGGTGTGAATCCCCAGCCTTCTGGTTAGCAGTCAAATGCCTTAGGCACTATGCCACCAGAACTCCCTTCCAGGTGTAGTGAAAGGCAGCTTCTAACTGACAAGGGAAAGCTGATGGCAAACCTGTGGGACTACTCTAGTTATTGACCCTGAAGAGCTGTGATAGTTAATTTTATGTGTCAACTTGGCTAGGCTATGATGCCAAAACACTCAATTAGTTAATGTTATGGTATAGTTACATGAGATTAAATCAGCTAGTCTTAAATAAGGCAGATTACCTTCCATAACATAAACTAAAGTGATACAATGCAATGATCTTCCATAATGTAATGTAATTTATCAATTAGTTGAAGGCTGTTAATAGCAGAAAGTAAGTTTCCTTGAGAGGTGCTCTGTCTCCAGACTATAAATAGATATTTTGGCAGAACTCTCACCTTACTCTTCCTGTTGCTTGACCTAGGGTTTTTCAGATGCAAGCCAGCAGGAGTTTCCAGACTCACCTGACCTAAGGATTTTGGACTTGCCAGCTCTCCACAATTCCTTGAAGTAAATCTTTTTATCTTTCTCTCTCAGTATATGTCTGTATATGTGTATGTCTATATAACTCATTGGTTCTGTTTCTCTGGAAAGCATTAAACAGGAGTGATGGTCACTCTGAATTAAGCCAGTTTTCCTGGGGATTTCACTAAATCTGTGAGAATTCAGGAAGGGCTAAACTAATCTACCTGTGTACAAATGGGGACAATGGACAGGTGAATGGACATGAACCAATGAGAGTGAGCACAGTTGACCTTGGAGGTACACTCACTGATGTTGAGTACTTTCTACAGAGAGTGTAGTATGGGAGCAATGCTACCATGAGGTCAATGTCACCATGACAGCAATGTCACCACAGGAACAATGCCACCATGGGAACACCACCACCATGGAAGCAATGGCACCACAGGAGTACAGGCTATGGTCTTTGAGCTGCCGGCTTACTGTGCTGCCTACCAATGATCACACATTTGTTAGGAAGCAGAACTGAAACTAAGTGTCATTGACCTGAGTGTCAGACTGTATGTCCAAACCATGCTGTCTTCCCCACTGTGAGTGTCTTCTCACTGTGAGTGAGTCAGGAGCAGGGTGTGCTGGATCACACCTTACCTGCTGGCATGGTCCTTGCAAAGACAAAGTTGGAGGCACTGCAGCCCAGCTTTTCAGCCTCGTGATTGCAACTGTGAATATCAATGCGGTACAAAGTGAAAGGCCGGAGGTTTGAAATGACAGTTCTCTCCTTGTTATCCACTCTGCTCTCAAAGAAGGGGAACTCTGTCTCGAGCTCTTCTGGGTCTGTGACATTGTAAGTATCTGCCATTGTGGTGTTCCTGCTTCGGCTGGACATGGTGGTATTGGCAATTTGCATGACATCCCTCCTCTTCCTTTCAGGTCTGCAAGAAAAAGAGAAACTGGGCTCTTAAGTACTTCTATCTCTTTGGCCTTTTCTGTGACTTAAAGAAGAGTAACAGAGAGAAAAGGTGGCAGCTAACTACCACCAGGTTTTTTACTGGTCCTTGTTTGTCTAGAAGGGAAAATCCTGGAAAGGAGAAGCCAGTGTCTGGGGAAAGTACCTCCCTAGTCTGTTTGGCCTATGCATTCCCTACAAAAACACTGTCACTGATTCTGTGCAGTGACATACTGGGCCTCCACCAACAACATAAACCAGGCAGGGTGATGTCCCAATACAGATACGACCACTCCAATGGGCAGAAAATCTCAAGGTCAAGGCATGTGTTCATGGGCTAAGTACATTTGTTTTCAAAATTTTGGGAAGGGGGAAAGGGGTTGGAAATGAGGCTAATAATCTACCCATCCTTATACCCTGCAAGCCAGCCAACCTTCCTGGAAGGGAAGAACTCAAGAAACCCCATTTATTGCTACAGACCCCTTTTCCTGACACACACCCTAAGTAATTTCCTGTCTCCCCTTCAAATCAACACAACACATATACCCACTTGCATCTGTAAGTAAGAAGTTGCTTAGGGTTAATCACCTGCAAAATAATACTGTGTGAAAATCTCTCCCTCATTTAACTGGGATGACACAATTAAGTCCACTCAATTGTTTACTTATTTATTTATAAACATCACACTTCTGGGGATTGCATAGCTGTTAACTTGTTGACATCAAGTTAAGGATTAGGAAAAGGAGGCAACACAGAACATCAATCATGAAGACAAAGTCCGGGGTAAATAGAATGGCCTTAAAATATTTTATTTTATTTTTTTTTGTCAACAGCTACATTTCCGAATAGGGTGGTGAACAGTAAATATTACAACCGACTACTCCTAGGTCCACGCATGGTACCATCCACTGCTATCAGAAAAGCTCTCACAGAAAACATCTGCCAATGTTTCAGCTACTTAAACCAACCTATGTGATTTAAAAATTAAAGGTAACAGTAAATGGAAGGCATTCACCACCAAAAATCAACTTCACAAAGCAATTTTTCAAACTCTTGCTTTCATTCTATTTCAAAACAGAGTGGATATACCACACAATGGATAATATACCAATCTAACTTAACGGGTTCTAGCTTCAATATAAATTGTTCTTGGAATGATTGCAAGAAATTAAAATAATTTCTGGACAATTCTGCTGAGACAGAAAGCCCTCCATTGTAACTCAGTCATTCTGTCATCTGTACACCACTTTTTCCTAGACTTTGCCAGAACTTGCATAGACTTCAGACTGCAAGGGAAAAACAAGTACCCTGATTTGTTCTCCCTGCCCTCCTCCCATGTCTGTCTTTACTGTTTCTGTCAGTCAGCAGTAAATAATTTACAGTTCCCCTCTGTAGGAGGCATAAAAATAACACAAACATTAAGTTACAAAATTGTGGCCTCTGACCATGGGGCAAAATATGGTATTTATATATATCAAATGAAAAGAAATAATAGCAAGCTTAAGTTGTCTTAAAAAAAATTTAATAAAAATCCAAACCCATTGCCATTGCACTGATGCCGACTCATGGTGACCCCATGTGTTACAGTAGAACTGTTCCACAGAGCTTCTTTGGCTGCGATCTTTATGGAAACAAATCACCAAGTCTTTTGTAGTCTTTGAACTGCCAATCTTCAGGTTAATAAACCATTTGCACCACCCCAGGGACCTTAAGAACATGTCTTGGGAGATTGGAAGTCAGGACAGCAAGGATGGATGAAAACTTTCCTCAGGGGTAAGATGGCACAGAGGAAATGTATTCTGAACCCAACTGCACTAACAGAGTGCATAAATCACATGTCCCCTACAACTTTGCCTCCATATTGCTTGGTCTTATGCTCCACATCTGATGAGAAAAAAGGTACTATCTTGTCACTATAAACTGAAAAATAACCTTTCTAACTCCTCTGACTGTGAGCACTCATACCCTGAACTTCTGGCAGGTCGGTGGGGTAAGACATTAAGATAACCAAACAGTTTTTGATGAAGGATAAGCAGCTGATTTCTGCCCAGCCTGTTTGGGACATTCTAACCTCATCCTTCCACAGTAGCAACAGGCTGTCCCCAGTTGAGCTTTCTGCTGGCCCGGAGGGAGTAGATTGTGCTAAAGAGCAATGTAATGAAGGGGAAAGAGCCTTGGTGTGTAGGAATTTAGAGCCAAGACCCACAGTGACTATGAATTAATTAAGGTCTTGGAAAGGTCACCACACCTTTCTGAATACCAGTTTTCAAACATCTTTGCATCCTTTTCCAGTTCTAGAACTTTCTAATTCTAGGACTCACACATAAAATCCAGAATGCTTGGGCTAAAATTTAAACTCTAATTCCCAAAAACAAACCCGTTGCTGTTGAGGTGATTCTGACTCATGGTGACCCTATGTATTATAGAGTAGAACTGCTCCATAGGATTTTGGTTTTTAATTGTAATCTGAAATTAAGCAGATCAGCAGGCCTTTCTTCCATCACATTACTGGATAGACTTGAACCTCCCACCTTTAGGTTAGTAGTCAAGTGCAAACTGTGTCACACACTGGACCTTAAACTATTCACAGACTGGAGACACAGGCATTAAATCCTGATGAACCCAGTGGGGTGGGTCAGGTGGCCCCACAGTGAGCTCTGCCCTCAAAGTCCTACTGGTTTTAACTGCTAGAGAGGAAACAAGGGGAAGAAAGCCACCCCACAATGAAAAAGATTAATTCTGAAAAAGGAAGTACTTCCTATTCTAAAGTGTCTTTATTTCTTATTTTACTGACTTTTCAAAGACTGCTATCTTTAACCATTATGCAAAAATCAGAAAGGTCAACTGATCCCCGCCCCCCAAAAAAAATCAAACCAAGAACATTAAAAAACCATTTGTTATTATAACTTAAGAAAGCCTTTAAAGGTGAAGTACAGAATAAATGGTCACCACAGGCTTGTAGAAGGATCTCTGGTGGCACAGCAGTTAAAAGCATACAGCTGCTAACCAAAAGGTTGGTGGTTCAAACCCATCAGCCACTTGGCAGGAAAAAGAAGAGGCAGTCTTCTTCCACAAAGATTTATAGCTTTAGAAACCCTTTGGGGCAGTTCTCTTATGTCCTGTAGGGTGCCTATGAGTTGGAATTGACTTGATAGCAGTGGGTTTAGTTTTTTTTTTTTTTTGTTTACAGGCTTGTATAGAGTCCCCAGGTGGGGCAAAGGGTTAAGTGCTTAACTGCTAACCAAAAGGCTGGAAATTTTACTCTACCCAGAGATGCCTTGAAAGAAAGGTCTGGCAATCTACTACTGAAAAATCAGCCACTGAAAGCACTATGGAGTACAGTTATACTCTAACACACATGGGATTGCCATAAGCAGAATACACTTGATGGCAATTGGTTGTTACTGGTACAGTCTTCTTGGGCCCTCTCAGGACAAGCGGCAGTTAGGAGGAAGAGTGATCACAGTGGAAGAGAACATGGCCAGGTGGCAATGTGCTGGAAGCCACTGGCTATGCAGACATTTGAGGGTGGAAGAACCGGGAGCTCACAGATACAATACTGGCTTTGAATTGAGTTCCTCTGTCTATGTTGGAGGCATGAGGTTGTTTCCAATCTCTGGATTATGATCTTTCAGGAAGAAAAGGGAGCCATGGGTGGTCACTCCATTCACCATCTGCTTTGTCACACAGAGCTGGGATGCTCTGTGAGCCACTCCCCCCCTCCCCAGGTGGCAGACATTGAGACTGGAAAGCCTAGCTGATAAGGGTACCTGGAGGAAGGGACTGCTTTGCTTTGACAGGCTGCCTTCTACCTGCTCCCCAAGATGAACATGACCTTTTCAACACTTATCCTCATTTTTTTTTTTCATTCTTCCATTACCCCTTTTTTGCCAAGATGAGGTGGCAGGGAGAAGCAGAAAGGGGTGAGATGGGCTCAGATCTCTGCTCTTCCACTCACTGGCTTCCATGAGCACAGGCAAGTAAGTTGGGCTCCCTACCTCTGTTTTCCTGCCTCTATAATGGCGAGTAGCTGGGCATTTGTAGGCAGCAATACCTCTCATGCTAGTGACCTCAATAATAGAGCCTTTACGCCCTTTTCTTCAGGGCTAATTGGCTTTCACAGTAACTCCACTTGACCAAATCCACATGATATTCTGTAGCTCACTTGTCTAACTATTCACCTACACCTTACCAGGGGGCAGGGGGGACAGCAATGGAACCTTCTGGGTAAGCACTCGTCTACATGCTTTCTCAAAGGATAATCGCACCTGGGCACAAAGATGGAATTGTGCAGGAAATTCTCAAAGACTTTCCGGTACTCGGCCTCCTCTTTCTCGGCCTGTTTCTCCGCTTCAGTTTTGGGGCAGGCACAGCAAGGCCCTTTCTCTCCACCACACACCTCTGTCTTGGGATTTTCTGTCACCTCCTCAACATCAATGGTGCCATCAGCATACTTCCTGATGGGGATTTTGTCTTCTCGGAAAAAAAGAAGGCAAAACAAGAGTGGAGATGAAAGCCAAGTCATATGTGCTTATGAGGAGAAGTAACAGATCTCAGCACCTTTATTGGAGAACTGAGCTGGTTCTCAACTAAGGGTTTAAGTGGTAACCTGACATTCTTAACACCAGAGCTTTGAAATTTTCAAACAACGAGAATGGGCATCCTTACCTTTGGAGCAATAATTATGCCGGTAAAGATAACTGTCCTGGGGCTGCCGCTGCCACCTCACAATGTAGTAGCTCAGGTTACCATTTGGCAGAGAGGGAGGGTTCCACTTCACAATCAACTGAGAAGAGGAGTTTGATGCTGAAAGAACATCCAGGGGAATGGAAGGAACTGAAAAGAGGAGCGAAGTTTGTTTTAGAAAAGGAATGAATTTAAAATCCAGGCTGTCAGCCTGGCTTGTTAACCCTCAGATCACTTGACACACATCTCAATAGCCAGCTGGCACTATAAGCCACATCTGACCTAAATGAATAAAATCCCATATAGCAAAATTGAAGTATTCATTCTCAAAGTCCATAGCATTAATTTGTTAGGTAAAAAGTAGAAAGCTTGGTCATGTAAATTTGCAAAATGTGTGTGTGTGTGTGTGTGTGGTGTATAATGTGTTTCTGTGTGGTATGTATGGGTGATGTGTGTGTGTATTTGCATGGTGTGTTTGTGTGCAGTGTGTGTCATGTGGATGTATGGGGTGTGGGTGTGTGGTATGTGTGTAATATGACTTTGGTGTGTAGGTGGGTGTGTACTGTGGATGGTGTTTGGGGTATATACGTGTGCACAGATTGAGGTAGTTCCACATCACGATAATTTTCTTTCTTAGCCGTTATTTGTGGACTGAGAAATAAATTGCCATTAGTATTATAGGAGAAAAGTGAAGTTTTGTTGATTAAAAAAAAAATTTTATGAAGTGAAGACCCTATGGTTTTCTAGTGACACTTAATGCAAACCAACAAGAAGCCTCAGGTTTGACCTAGATAAGAAGATAGCCAAGAACATGAAAACACAAAATGAAAACTGAACTTTGCTTTGACATAGTACTAATTTAAATGCTAATATTCTTCTTTATAATATTTAATTCTCAGGGAATCCTTGGAAAAATAACCATTTCAGAGTTGCAAATACAAAAGAATTGTCGAGGCACAACCAGGGTTAGGATAGATGACTTAAAACCTACAGCTAACTCAAACATCTCATTTTTATTATTATTACAACTGTCATTTTCCAAAAGGTTTAATTTCAGCAGTTTTAACAAATAGTAAAATTGACTGGTTTGCACTTCATCTGAGTTTTGAATCTCTGATAAGAATGGCAAGAAGTCAAAAGGAAAAGGGGATGCATATAAAAGGAGCAGAAGAAACAATATGTGTATGCAAGGGGAAAAGAAAGGAGAAAACTATGCAAAGGGTGTGGAAATCCACCAATTCTATAGTCATGCTTGAATAGAATGATTAAGACATGGCAATGAAAAGCAGTATAAAAACTCAAACAATGCATAAGCCCTGATTTCAAGCAACAGACTCTATTTCCAGCAAAAGGAATACTGATTTATAGGCGGAACATTGTAATTGTGTGCAGCTTGATTTACTACTGCCCCAAACCCATCCCCAGAGCTGAAGTGTGTGTAAAGAGCAAATGCTATCAAGTTGACTTCGACTTAAAGTAACCCCATGTGTGTCCCTGTAGAACTGTGTGCTCCACTGAGTTTTCAATGCTTGATTTTTTTCAGAAGTATCTTGCCAGTCAATTCTTGCAAGGCATCTCTGGGTAGACTCAAACTTCAAACTTTCTGTTGGTAATGGAGCACATTAACCATTTGCATGACCCAGGAATGCCAGACGCATCCCCAAGCCAAGCCCATTGCCATCAAGTCAATTCTGACTCATAACGACCCCTGTTGGGTTTCCAAGGCTGTAAATCTTTACAAAAGTAGATTGCCTCATCTGCCTCTGATGGAGCAGCTGGTGGGTTTGAACATCTAACGTTCTGGTTAGCAGCCAAATGCCTTATGCACTGCACCACCAGAGCTCCTTCCAAATGCATCCCAGTACAACAGAAAACTTACTCTTTGGATTCGCACTGATTTTGATTTTTCCAATCCATAAAAGAAATCTTAACTTAAGCAACATTTTCATTCAACATGGTTTTGAAACTTGAAAAGGGTGAACAGCTTAAGGGTGCTTTAAAAGTATATAATACACACAAAGTTCTAAATACTTTTAAAGATGATACTTTGGGAGATGAATATGACTAATACTAGCTTTTTCAGAGTAAACACAACCACTAGTGTTGGCTACATTAAGGTTTCCAAAACTGAATTGAAAACGAATGGTTTATCCCTATATATTTCAGTGACGGGTGTCATAAAAAAGCAGTTCTATTGGTTATTATCTGTTCTTACTACTTGAAAGAACAGGAGCTGAACAATGTAGTGAATTGACTCAATTTATACAGTTCTTGGTTTTCCATCTAGGGGAAAGGAGAAGGTTTTTAAGAACTTGCCATAAAAAAAGAGAGATTACAATTTTTTCCAAACTTGCTACATTAAATGGCTGGGAAGGATTACTTCTCAGCCTCAGCAGCCAGCAGCTGTCTGAGTGAAGAAATGCCTCTAGCTCCAGTGGGCTAGGAGCAGGAGGCAGAGCTGGACCCCAAGATTGAAGGGCTTTCACCCAGCCCCTAGAGCCTGGCACTTTGAACTTGGACTTAAAGCCTCCAAATTGTAAGAATAAACTCGTTTGTTAAGGCCATCCCATTTGTGGTATATTCTTGTCAGAGCAGCACTAGGTAACCAGAACAGAATTTGGTACTGAGAGAGTAAGGTGCTGCTCTGACAGACACCTAAAATGTGGAAAATAGGAGTGGAGTGCATCCTTGATCCAAGACCCCAGCATACGGCATGACAGATGGCAGGAGCAGAGCAAGAGACCAGCATGACAGACAGCAGGAGCAGAGCCCAGAGACCAGCATGAGAGACAGCAGTAGCAGAGTCAAGAGAACCAGCATGAGACAGTGACAGTCTTACCAGCCAAAGGAGGAGAAAGCTTGATGCCTTTGGTTAGGCAGCTTACTGACGGAGTGGGTTGCCTTCAGGCATTAACTGGTAGAGAAGACCAGCATAAAATGAAGTAGCAGGTTGGCCGACCCACAGAACAAGAAACCTACATGTCCTTTATGCAGAAAGATTTCCAGCAGAGTGGGTTGCCCTCGGGCATTAAACGGCAGAAGCAGAGAGACCAAGGAAATGGGAGCAGAGCTGCCTCAGCCTTAAGGGTAGGACCATGGCCTTTGGGGATGGAACCACCACAGCCCCCTAGGTTTCAAAGAGCTAGACTTTAACCAACTTGGTTCTGGAGTGTGGGGCTGCTCATTCATGTGAGCCAGTGGAATGGAGCCATAGCTGCTACCCAAAGATGAGGGGGTGGGCCTGCCAGGCCAAGGGGGTGAGGTCACCACTCAGGAACTAGGGGACTGGAGCCAGCCAGTGGAGAAGACCTGTACAGATACCATCCATTGAAGATCTGTACAGGTGCCAAGTTGACAAGGGGTGGAATTGTGGTAGTTATGTTTGTGTGTCAACTTGGCTGGGCCTGGATGAGTGGCTGGGCAGCTGGTGGTAATTATTCCCCATGATGAGACTGGCAACCAGCTCCAGGGTGGGATCTACCACAAGCAGCTGAGTAGCTGCCTTTGGGATGTGATCTGCTTATTTAAGGAGAAGCCTTGGGAATGGTCTCTAGCCTATGGCACGCATGGGCCCTGCGTGTAGCTATGTCACTGCTCAGCAGCCTTCTGTGCTCTGCCGACTTTGGGACTTATAATGGACTTAAGTTAATGGCCTGCCATGTGGTTTGGTAACATCAGGACTGTGCCTTTTTATTTGTAACCTTGGGGCTTCTCAGTCTCAGCAGCCAGCAGCTGTCTGAGTGAAGAAATGCCTCTAGCTCCAGTGAGTCGGGAGCAGGAGGCAGAGCTGGACCCCCAGGTTGAGGGGCTTTCACCCAGCCCCTAGAGCCTGGCACTTTGAACTTGGACTTAAAGCCTCCAAATTGTAAGAATAAACTCGTTTGTTAAGGCCATCCCATTTGTGGTATATTCTTGTCAGAGCAGCACTAGATAACCAGAACAGTCACCATGATTTGGAATGACTATATTAAGTAGCATAGGAGCTCTGGTAGCATAGTGCCTAAGGCACTTGACTGCTAACCAGAAGGCTGGCGGTTCAAACCCACCAGCCACTCCTCGGAAGGAAGGTTGGGCAATCCTACTTCCGTAGTGATACTGCCTTGGAAACCCAAGGAGGGGTCACTATGAGTTGGGGTCGACTCGACGGCACGTAACAACAACAACATATTAAGTAGCACAGTGCATAAGGCACTTGACTGCTAACCAGAAGGCTGGAGGTTCAAACCCATCAGCCACTCCTCGGAAGGAAGGTTGGGCAATCCACTTCCATAGTGATACTACCTCAGAAATCCAAGGAGGGGGTCACTGTGAGCCTGGTCTGACTCGATGGCACATAACAACAACAACAACAACAAATTAAGTGGCAGCCTACAATGACAACAACATTGCATACTGACAAGACAAATATATAAAAGACAAAATGGCCCAGGACATTTTGATAGAGAGACAGAGATTTTATTACTAGTCTTAAACTACATCCTACAATAAGAAAGTAAGTGAGCTAAAGAACAACTACAGGATGGGAGATAGGTGGTAGTCCAGTGCCTGGATACCTGATGCATTGGTGCGAATGTATAAGATTTCACTCTTGGCCCCACGGATGTGGTCATTCTCCACCATGGTAAGAGTCACTGCCTTGACGTAAACAGCATACTGAGTCCAGGGCTTCAGTCCATGCAGTAAAATGCCTGGCTCCCCATCCTTGTTCGTAGGGAGGTCCACATCCACCATGTTCCAGCTGTTGGAGCCACAGGCGTCCTGCCCATCATACTCTGTCACATTTTTAAAGGGGCTGAAAGATAGTCAATAAAAGTCAGAGAATGTTCCAAGGTGCTGACGTCAGAGCTCTCAAAAACCTTCCCCAGTGGACTAGTGTGTCACACTGTTTATAGTGGGAATTCTATATAAAGCAAATAATCAAATAGATTTTTACAGAAGTATAAAATTGAGCAACTCCACTCCAGTTTCACCAGTGATGTACTATAGAATTGAATACACTGCCTCAGGAAAAGCAAATTCTAGAGTTACTAGGGTTGATAATGTCCTTTAATAATATACATATATTTTCTTCTCTTCCCATTGTGGTATTTTAAAAACAAGCATGGTCAATGAAAACATCATATATTGAAAAAGGATAACTTTTGGAGAAAAATAACTTTCCTACAGAAAAATGGAATGAGATTCTAATGAGTAATTTTTTCACAAATAATTCTGATGCTTAAGTATCATATAATACTGAAATATTTCATTTCCAGATTGTCTCAGAAACTATCATCAACTCCTTAGTAAAATTACTGGCCAACACTGCCAAAGCACTGGTAAGACTACCCAAGAGAAAATAGTGTTTTTGTACCCATGCATGGTTGGGTAGGGATTCCACATTTATCAGATGAAAGGGCTGAAATGCCAGAGGCCATGGACTCCCAAAACAGAAAACTTTGCTTCTACCATGATGGGAGACCATGAGTGGGTCCCCGATATATGAAGGCTGAATGCCTAGTAATCCTGAGTCCCATTCTTCTCATTGGTTATGACCCTCTTCAGGGCCTTAGCTCCAACAGAGGGATAGGGTACAAGTTGCTACCATTGGTGAGTCCTGTTCCTAATCTGCAAAAAGTCAAGAAACTAAGGAAAAGACCTACAGCACTAAAATAGGACCTGAGTAAGGGGAAGACTAAGTAGACTGGGGAAACCACCTGGATACTGGGAGTAAAGAAAGTAGAAGGAGACTAAAAGGAGCTGCAGTATGTTTTGGCAGGTGGATATGATATTATGGCAGGAGAAGAGCCTCCCAGGAGTCTTTGGGAGAAGTCATGGAAGGTCCCAGGCACCAAGGTCAGTTGGTCTCCATTCTTCTTTGTCTGGAGGACTCCCCTGATAGAGCAACAGAAATAAGATGATGGAGCAACCTAGGGATTACTCAGGAAGTCATGCATTTTGCAAGGGGTTCCTGGAGTAGTAATGGAAGGCATGAAGGTTGTAACAACATTTCCTCCACCACAGTTATGAAAGTTTGGACTGACCAATTCTCCAGAAAGCAAGCCTTTTCCCTGTGTTTTATTATTCAAACATCTCTAATTATCTGCCAAAGAATGAAAGGCCTCAAGCTAACACTTTCCCACTTGTGGTGGTCACTGGCTATGACGACAGTCATAGGACAACTGGCAAGACACTAGAGGGTGAAGTGAGGACACTTAGCACTGTTCTCTCTGAGACAGCTGACTCCCCGCCTCCTCCATTCAGCTAATGTAAAGGAAAATCAGAGGAGTGACTTTACTCACTCTCAGCCATATCAATAGAATGATGTCACCAAACAGAGAAACTCACGCTTCCTTGTAGTACACAGTGAAGCTGATGAGATCCCTGTAGTCAGGAGGCCGGTAGCGGTGCCAGGTGATTATAATCCGATTCTTCCATGTGGTGGTGGAGGTGAAATGCAGCACATCACTTTCACCTGGGACAAAGAGGTACCTCCATCAAGGACAAGGTAATTTTCCTTCTTTTCCCTCAGAAAATTCACCTGTTCCATTTCCCTGTTCTCCAAGTGTACCCCCTAAGTCACTTTCTAGAGTTCCAAAGTGATTTTCTGATTTCTATAAGAACCCATAAGTTTTATTATGCAGATAGCTTCAAGGCATTCATTATGTTCTTCAAAAAACAAAAAAGTTATCCTCAAGAAGACTGACTCATGGAGACCCCTGAGTGTCAGAGTAGAATTGTGCTCCATATGGTTTTCAATGGCTAATGTTTTGGAAGTGGACTGAGCTCATTAACCACATGTACCACCCAAGGACTCCTACATTGGTTTAGTGTCATCAAAATGCACTGGCTTCTTGCCCAGGGAATTGGCAATGGACCTGTTGCTGAGTGTTTTTCCTAACCTGAAAGTGAAGACCCACTTCAGTGGACAAGGTGGCCTTATCTTTCTCCCTGGTCACTAAGATGCTGGTTACCCAAGGGAGCCTCTGTATGGTAAGAGGAAGCCTTTAAGCTGGGCCGAATCTTCTTATAGTGGCACCAATCTTGGAGTTATGGAGCTGTCTACTCTTGGGAAATATTTACCAAGAACAGATAATAATCAAGCATGCCATAGATGGGATCTTCCCATCATCTAAACTAGGTAGCAAACTGGAAGGACATGGTAACTACTTTAAGGCTTCAGCTAGCACTGACATACAACAAGGAATGGATTCAGCACGGACAAGAACAGTTTCCCTTGTGGCACTGACTAGACTCTATGGAGGGAAGCCTTCCCAGGTGAGGCCAAGCAGGGACCACCCCCCCCCCCCACTGCCTTATTGTTCTCTGGACCATATTCAATCTACAATGAGAACCAAGGAAAAAAATTAGTGAGGAGAACTGCCCTCACAGAGATTCCAGGCTCTTCTACAAATTGTCTTCCACTCCTGTATTTGCCTGATCCCAGTCTAAATACAGGTGAGGCTGAGAGACTAATGGCAACCCTAAACCAGAAGACTTTAGGGCTTCTCTAGGTTTTCAGGTGTGTGATGGAGATCAGGAGAATGTTGCAGCACTCCTGGTGAATTTTATTTTGAAAGAAAACCATGGCTTTGCTTTAAATGGAAAATAAGCAGCTACTGTATTCAGAGTGGTTTTCCCTAAGAAGAAAACCCACCATAGAGTCGATTCCAACTCATAGCGACCCTACAGGACAGAGTAGACCTTCCCCATAGGGTTTGCAAGGCTGTAAATCTTTACGGAGGTCAACTGCCTTATTTTTCTCCCATGGAACAGCTGGTGGGTTTGAACCGCTCTTATTGGTTAACATGCACTATCAGAACTCCTTCCAAGAAGAAAAGTACTTTGAAAAAGGCTGATATAGCAACTTTTTGTCATGGTTTGAATGGGGAGTGTGCCAGAGGTTTTGGTGGGTGGGAGAGGGGAGGAGAAAGGGCATTGGGGGTCTAGGCTGTAAAGATGTTCTCCAGCTTTGGTCTAAAACTCTTCCTGAGCAACTTGGGTGTCTACCAGGTAAAACTAGACACCAGAAAACCAAACTAAAGCCAAATGTTAATAGTTTTATAGATTCTCCTCCTATTTGTATGTGTGTGTCCAAATCACCCTTGATTATAAAAATTACTCTATTTTTTCTGATTATTTTTTAAAATTATTAAAAGCCAGTGGTGGAGAAAAATTACTTTTCTACTCAGGCAAAAAGAGCCACAAAAATTAAAATATCAACAACAAAATAAAAATAGTTTTATATACAGGGTTGGGAGAGAAAGTTACTTTTATATCTCAGATACAAGACCTTAGAGTAAAAACTGGATAACCAGTACTAGGTTATACTTACAAATTTTAAAAGCAACGTCAACTCAGGAGTGCAGACCCACTCCATCTTTCCTGTGTTCGGGTGAGGGACAGAAACCTAGTGATCTGCATGGGCTGTACTGGTAGCTGGGCTCCCTCCTGCCTCTCCCCATGGACATTCTTGAGGACAGTGTGGGCCCAGTGAGCTTGCTCTCAGGACAGGAGAGTGCTGCCCCATATTTGAAAAATAATCTATACACCCAAAGCACAATAAAATTAAAGAAAAATAAAAACAATCTAAAAGAAGTCCTGTGTATAAAAAGACAATAATTATCTGTATCTTGTAAGAGCACCCCTTTAAAATCTGTGTAAGAACCTATTTATGAATGTTTAGCACACTCATACAGATGCTAAGGACTATTTGCAAATGTAAAGTTATGAATCTGCCCCACAATTGGTTTTTGAGAAACATATGCACAAGCAGCGGGCTAGCTGAGGAGGCTTTGTGTCCCCCCTCCACCCCCAGTAAAGGCAGCTATTTTAGACAGGAAGAAGGTCTGCTGCTGTCACGTTGTCCACTCACAAGAGGCTCTTTCTCCGTTGTTCCTCGTGTTTATGTCCCCTTTGCTCTGGCGCCCTTTAGTCCCTGTCACTTCCTCCATGCGATAAATTTCGGAAACACACAATTTGGGATTAAAAGCAAAGTACATTTTCCCTGCTTTGATAGTCAGGTTGCGGTGGTCCCAATCCCACAGCTGCTGCAGGTTCTGGTTGTCAAGGACATAGAAGGAGTAATTCCTAGAAAAACAAAAATGACCATCAGCATACTTGTCCTTTTTCATGGCCCACCCAAGCCTGCTCCATAACACAGTTTCCTCGCCAATATTATATTTAGTTATCATCGACACTCTATAAGAATATAGAGTTACTGTTAACAATGGCAACCAAATGATTCAAGGACAACATATTGAAATTGAAAGGACACTAACTAATTTTACAATCTTCGTTACCAACAAATAATGCTTCCCACACCAGAGGATGTTACCAGAATCTTTCCCTAGAAATGCCTTTAGTTATTTTTCCTCAGAGAAGAGTATGTACAATGTGCTTGAAATGAGGACATGGGAGAACAGATTCGTTCTGCTACCCAACCAGAACAGCTTACATATTTGCTGCAGAAAGCCTCTATTATCCTCTGGAGTAAATCCCATCCATGCCCAATCAGGAGGGTATGAAGAGGAAGCAGACAGGACAGGGAGACAGATTCACAGCAGACTACCTGGGGGCCTGCTCACTCCTCCAGTCTCACCCACCCTGCAAAGCCCCAACTTCAATCCCTGGAGAAGGCATGGGAGTGAAAAACAGCCCAGGATGGGTAGTCTCCCTGGGCCACTTGTCCAAGTAACAGCCACTTAGTGTCTAACACAGAGGTTCTCAAAACTTAGTGTATATCACATCACCTGGAAAGCCCAGTTTCTGATTCAGCAGGTCTAGGTTGGGTCGAGAATTTGCATTTCTAGCAAGTTCCCAATTGATGCTGATGCTGATGCTGATGCTGATGCTGATGCTGCTGGTCCAGGGACTCCACGTTGAGAATCATTGTTCTAAGGGAAGGAGCTCTGGTGGCATAGTGCCTAAGGCATTTGACTGCTAACCAGAAGGCTGGCGGTTCAAACCCACCAGCCACTCTGCAGAAAACTGGGCAATCTCCTTCTCTAAAGATATACTGCCTCAGAAACCCAAAGAGGGCCACTATGAGTCTGAAATAATATGATGGCAGTGAATTTGGTTTGGTTTGGATTCTAAGGGATGCTGAGTACCTGTTAAGTTCTGGAGGCCCAAAGCTGACCAGGCCAACCCAGCTTCTCCCTTAGTGAGTGTACAAGGCAGCAGCACTCCCAGGGCCTGCTAAAGGAGGAGAGATGGAAGCAGGCAGCTCCTAAGCAGGCATCCCTGGCTCCCCTGGTACCCCAGGGGAGTGAGAGAGCACATAGCAGCAGTACGTCTCTCTCTCTGGCTCCCTGGGAAGCAGGGTGGGCAGCACCATGGCTGTGGTCTGAGTCTTCTCTCTGCACAGGAGACTCTGCTTCCATTGACCTCGAATCCTCCCTCTGCCCCTCCTGCTCCCCAACTTCAATGGCTTTCTGCAGTGTACTCACATACTTTATGCGTGAAACTGTGTTTAGGAGTTAGCACAGCACTAAGAAGTATTCCTAAGATTTATGTATAGATTCAACACACAAATGTGCAGTGCAGGAATCCAGCCTCTTTACAGAGCCAGGACAGTCAGCAAAACATCATCCCAAAGCCCCTTTGCCCTGGAGGATGTGTCTGTTGGAATACTTCTCTGGAGAACATCTTCTTTACCCTCCATGCTGAGACCTCTAACTCTCAGCCTGCATTCATTTAGAATGAAGTGCAAGTTACAGTTGGAACACTCCAAGCAGACTATGATGTTTTTCTGGAAGTCACAAGGGAGTTTCCCTGTCAGACCAGGAAGAGGCTAGAGACAGGATCCAGAAGCAGAAGTAGCACTGAAGAGCTGCACAGACATAGGAGGGTGGCTTAGTGCTTTCTGATGCCCAGTTTAGTGACTTGTAGGAAGAGGAGTGGGAGCAGCTGACATATGAGCCCCCTAATGACCTTAATGCTCAAAATGAATCACAGAGCTGAGTCACTATCTGCCCCACCAGCCTGAAGCCCAATATCTCCCAGACACTGAGTTCTTCACCTGTACATGTGTAGGGGTGGGGTGGAGCACAGTGGGTGCTAGAGTCCTGCCTATAAAGGGTTCAGTGAACCAAAAAAAAAAGCAAGTCCAAAGACAACTTCTCCAAATCAAAGTGTCTTTACTCAATAACAACAAACGAACAGGGTGTTAAGAACTTGCAACTTAAGATGTTGCCCACATGAATCCAGACATGGTATAGGCAACAAAGGTTATGTGCCCAGGAGGAAGCATTGGGATAGGCATGGTCACATCTGTGTCCCTGGGGCAGACCCATCCAGCTCTCCTCTCTTTTGCTGCCAGGTGGCAGGTGATGTTCCTGGCACATAAAGGGTATCAGTGCAGTTGTGGAACTGAAGAAAGAGGAGGAGGAAATAGATTCATCCTCTCATACACATGGGGTTGCCATGAGTTGGAGTCGAGAGTTCACTCTATGGCAACTAACAACCACACAAGCAGCAGCCCACATTCACGTCTGCAGAATCTTTTCAGCTTTGAAGGAGAATCTGCAGGGCTGATACCACCCTCGATGTGTCTTGGCTGCTCTTGGGCACCTGTGTTAGCCTCATGGGACTAAATCTCCTTGTGGTGAAAAAACTTCTGGCCTAGTAGTAAAGACCAATTAATCCAGTCAAACTTCCATCTCCAGCCAGAATGAGGCTCCTCTTAGTAAATTCACCAGCTGGGGATGAACCTGCAGCGAAAATGCCTTCTGAACAACACATCCCTCTCCCCATGGGAGCAAGCCTGAACTATAAATCAGGAATGTGACAAATGACTGGCAGGCACACTGAAAGGCTGTGTATTGATTAATCACTTTCAAAAGCAAGATTATCTTTTCACAGTAAACACAAACTTTTTTTTTTTTTTTTTTTTTTTCACATCAAGAAGGCTGGGAGCCAGGATACAAGTATTAATAAAACCTACACACATTATGGAGGTGTGAAAGCTAAAGAAAATGAAAAAGAAGACCCTCGCCAAAATAATAATCAAGCCATTCATGTGCTGTGTGTAGATACTGCTCTTGTGTTTCACACCCAAGTCAGCTTGGGGCCTGACTCTCACTAAATTCCTTCCATGATCAGGTGAAAATGAAGATATGTCCCCAAGACAAAGATTTGGCTACATATCTTCAAAATACACGAACCTTAAATTTCCATTGTTTCCTGGAAGAAATATTCAAATAAGTTGCTCACTAAATATTTCTAAATTGTTTCTAAGTTCACTGTCTTTACATTCAAAGAATATTTTTTAAAATTATTTGTTTGCTATTTTGTTTCTGTACTTGGATAGGCCCTATCTGCCAATCTGTAGACAGACTACTTCCAGGTCAAAGGACACACCTTGGGCTGAGTTAGGCAACTCCATCTTTGGGAGCAACTGTTTCTCTTCTGAAGGGCTTGTATATTATTTGTATCGATATTCTAAGTGCCACATATTATACATTTAACTGTTCCATTCATGACTGTCTCACCTCCTTTTTTGTTAATACCACCAGCGCCCCCACTTGTTCCAACAAAGGGCAGAAAGGGCAGGGAAGAAACACAGGCATAGCTGCTCTCAATTTGAACGGTACTTAGAAGACAGACCCAGATATAGGGTTTGGAGTATTAAATTTGGGAACTCGGAGTTCAGGGTTTGGGCCTTATCTCTGCTGCTTACTAAGTAACAACTCTGGGCAAAGCCCTGATGTGACTTTTTCTGGTCTGGAGTGTCTCAACTATAAACTGGAGCTGTTTCTTGTTTTTCTGGCCTCACAACCAGTGTGAAGACTTGAATGCGATAACATAAAAGAGTACTGTGAACTTTAAATTACTTCACAAAGGTATGGGGTAATTGTTCTCTGAAGTGTCAGAGTCCCTTGGAACAAAGTCCTGGAGAACAGGAAAGCCCTGTCCACCAACAAAGGAGGCTGAGCCCAAGGTCTCCAGACTATGAAGTGAAAAGGGATATTTCCTTCTTTTCACCCTGTACACACATACTGGGGAAATAAATGGGCAAATACACAGCCAATCAGTCATTCCGTTTCATTTCTCAGAGGAGAAATGATATCTCTTCACAGTCGTCTCTAGGGGGCATCAGAGCCTAGCACACAGGGCTGTCTCCAGCTTCAGAGGGCTCTTCCTGACAGAATCTGGCCTTTGCACAGATGCTCCTTCAATCAATCCACAAACAGGCTTGTTTATATACATCCAATCCCCCAAATCCGATAATTCTGCTACCTTGGGGGTTCAGCAAAGCCAATAGCACTAAATACCTTGCAGATACTCAGACAATGTAACCCATTTACTGAAGTATAATTTAACTACCAAGACCTCACCTATTCTAAGTGCACAGTTCCATGAGCTTCTATAAATTTACATAACTGTCCACTTGTAACCACTACTCAGTTTTAGAACATGCCCATCACTCCAAAAGTTCCCTCATTCCCATTTGTGGTCAATGCCCACTCCCATCCCCAGCCACCACTGGTCTGCTTTTTGTATCTATAGTTTTTGCCTTTTCTAGAAATAATATATTAATGGATCATATGATATAGTCTGGCTTTTTTCACATGGCATAATGTTTTTGAGGTTTACCCATGTTGTTACATGTATCAGCAGTCATTCCTTTTCATTATTGAGTACTATTCCTTTCCCTCACATTTTGTTTATCCATTCACTTCTTGATAGACTTTTCAGTTGTTTCCACTGGGTATCTGGGGGTGGGGTGGGAACAGACTATCATGAATAATACTGCTGTGAACATTTGCATACAAGTCTTGCACAGATATGTTTTCCTAATCTTAGAGATGCAAGAAAGTGGGTTGAAGCAGAATGTCATAAGACTCAGTATTGGGGACATGAGCACAGAGATGCTTGTGTGAATCTAAGAATTTTCATTCTAATACCCCACTACTTCTACCTGTTTTATTCTTTTCCAGCACCAAAGAATTGGAAATTTTTTTATTTCTCTGATACTCACTCACTGCCGTCAAGTCAGTCCTGACTCACAGCGACCACTCCTTGGGTTTCTGAGGCGGCATCTCTACGGAAGTAGATTGCCCAGTCTTCCCTCTGAGGAGTGCCTG